GGCCTAGCAATATAAAGCAGAATGAACTTTGTTCCAACGTGCACAACAATATACAATTCTAGCAAAAAAAAACAGCAAAATCCCATTCCAATTCTCATCATAGAAAAGGTGAGTTTAGCCTATGAGCTAAAGAACAAAATACATTTTGAGCATTGGAATAAGAGGCAAGGAAAGAGAACTGGAGGGAGGTTGGGAGGGGTGGGAGTGGTCACCGGGTCTACTTCAAGCCATCCAGCAAGGGTATAAAAGTGTGCTATCTGAAGGTAACACAATACCTCAGAGCTAGGAAGATGTTGATTTTCATGCAAAGTAGAAAAAGGTTTCAAGCAAGAAGCTGCCACCAAGTTATGTAACCAGATTAGATTCTAGCATACCCAGGGTTCATAAGGGAAAATAGCAATGCTGGCTGGGTCAAAGAAAGGATTTTTACAGAAAGTGGGTAAGGGTATGTATGGTAAGAGCAATTTAAATAGGCCTTTCATCCTGTCACAGAGGGTAAGAGAGTGAAGAGTAAGAGTGTTAAAAATGGACCTATGTGCAGATGGTCGAAACCAAAGCAGGTTATCAATAGCTAGGGAGACACAATCAGCAGCTTCCAGTCCTACCCATAATGGGGTTTCCTGAATCACATGAGATTGGGCAGCCTGTACTTGCTGGCCATCCTGATAGTATTTTAAAAAATTTGCTAGACCTAAGCTCCCTTGGAGCTTACAGTGCATCAGGATGAATTTAAGGAGTCTTGGTTTATTGGAGCCCAACATATAGTTAGTAGTGCAGCATTGTAAAATTCATCAAAAATAAGCTTTGATAGCAATAAGGAGTACTCTAAAAAGGTAGAGGATTTTTTAGCAATATCAACATTTTAACTGCAATTATCCTGCTCATCTAGGAAACATGTAGTGAGACCTAGCAAGACATGAGAGTGGTTAAGTGAGTGAGCATAGGAGGGTAATTTTCCTAATAAATGGATGTTCAGTTAGTTTGATATCCAGCCAGTTTAAGTGGCGGGGGCCCCACTTCTAGGGCAAAGTACTTTGCATATGACATGCGTCTGAGAGTGAGATATTAAGCACTTCTGTTGGTTAACCTGCAGTCCAGAAAGGTGTGCAAATTGTTTCAGGGTGTTTAATAAATTTGAATGTATGATTATTGGTGAGGTGAGAAAAATAAGGACATCATCAGTAAGCCAGCAATCTCAATACCTCAGATGTTGTGGTTAGATCAAATCAAAATAGGGGCTCTATGGCCAGGGTGAATAATAGTGGGGGCAGAGCACAGTCATGCCTGGTTCCTTGGGCAATAGTAAAACAATCAGACTTATAACACTTGTATTTCAGGTATGATTGTGTGTTGGTATGTAGGGAGGATACCCATGTTAAAAAATTAGGACCAAAGCCCCACCAACCAAATATGTCATCAATGTAAGAATGTGGAATTGTAAACATTAGGTTTGTGTATCATGTATCATTAATTTAATAGTGGTAAGAGTATCTTATCTAAATGAGTGTTGTTTAAGTAGCAAGTTAAACGTGTTGGTTAAGACGTTCCTAAAACCTAGATCCTACTTATAGTGTATCTAAGTAGTAATTACCAGCAGCTCCAGGCTATTTTGGCTTTCAGAAATACAATACAGTACTGGCAGGGAGGTAATCTCTGTGTGACATGAAATGGAAAAGAGACTGTGTCAAAGGCTTTACAGATCTCGAGTGAGAATGGATATGTGAGGATATGTTTAGAGTTTTATATCTAAATTGAGTAGGGAGATGGGTCTGAAGTTGGCCCATGGGGAAATGTCAACATTAGGTTTGTGTATCATCAATATAATAGTAGTAAGATTATCTTATCTAAATGAGTGTTGTTTAAGTAGCAAGTTAAATGTGTTAGTTAAGAGAGATGCCAAGAATTTTGTGAATTTCTTGTTATAGAAGGCCAGCAGGCCATCCAAACCCAGATGTTTGTGGGGTTTTAATATCTTAACTGCCTGAAAAACCTCCTCAGTGATAATGGTTCATAGAGTGATAGAGGTTCATGTTGGGTAGCCCAACACAGCATCCACATGGGAGGGCTAAGAGTTAACAAAGAGTCCAACTTATTTGCTTTAGTATAGTAGGTATAACAGGACCTCCAAATGGCTTCCTTGGAGGATGCAGCCAGCAATAGATCTAGTTCTATTTTCATTTTTTTCTAGTAAAAGTTTGTTGGCTGGGGTAGGGTTTACCTGGAAGGTTATGTGTGCCTGAAATACTCCTTCTAGTTTTTGTAGGATCATACATTTATCATGCTTGTGATGTGTGGCTATCTGAAAGCAAGTACTGTACCCCTGATAAAAAGCTTGTTAGCCCCCCAGAGTGTAACTGGAGATCAACTATACTGCCAAAAGTATTGGGTCGTCTGCCTTTACACAAAAATGAAATTTAATGGCATCCCAGTGTTTAGTCTGTAGGGTTCAATATTGAGTTGGCCCACCCTTTGCATCTATAACAGCTTCAACCCAGCAACCTCTCAACAAGGTTTAGGAGTTTGTCTATGGGAATGTCTGACCATTCTTCCAGAAGCACATTTGTGAGGTCAGGCACTGATGTTGGACGAGAAGGCCTGGCTCGCAGTCTCCACTCTAATTCATCCCAAGGATGTTCTATCAGGTTAAGGTCAGGACTTTGTGCAGGCCAGTCAAGTTCCTGGGTTGTTCTCACAAGCTCATTGAATGCAAGCGTGGTACCATGATAGGTTTCCACCTGTGCAATAAGTCCATCCGTAAAAATTCCTTGCTACTAAATATTCTACAGTCAGCTGTTAGTGGTATTATAACAAAGTGGAAGCAACTGGGAACAGCAACTCAGCCACAAAGTGGTAGGCCACATAAAATTACAGAGCGGGCTCAGCACATTCTGAAGCATACAGTGCACAGAAGTCGCCAACTGTCTGCAGAGTCAACAGCTGAAGACCTCCAAACTTCATGTGGCCTTCAGATTAGCACAACAACAGTACGTAGAGAGCTTCATGGAATGGGTTTCCATGGCAGAGCAGCTGCATCCAAGCCTTACATCACCAAGTGCAATGCAATGCGTTGCATGAAGTAGTGTAAAGAACACCGCCAGTGGACTCTAGATCAAGGTCCATAAAGACATGAATGAGTGAGGAGGGCCCTGCTCCTTGGAGCTTACAATCTAAGAGACATACTGATCATGTGATTGCTGTGCGATCACATAATCACCCAGTCGCTCAATGCAGCTGGGGATTGATTACATTAGGGTCCTTCTTTTATTAGAGCCCACTTCAGACTCCCACCTTACATCACAGTCCCCATGAAGTCCCCACCACATCAGGGTCCCCATCAGATTGGGGGCTGTGCCATCATTTGCTGGCCAGCCAAAATCTTGTGGATGCTGGCTATAGTTTGGAGACCCCTGGGCTCTGTATTAATAAATAATAGTATTAATAAAGGTGAGTTTTTCCACAGGCATATACAGCTGTATGCTGTTGTATTTCTTGCAATGAAAAGTCAAGTATACAGTGAGATGGGGATGGTTCTCATTAATAAATAATACAAGAAACATAAACATGATAGATATAAAACATTTTGTATATTGGTTTAAAAACTATTTGTTTCCATACATGCATAATAAAATTGTTCAGAAAATATCTCAAACTGCTATAAAAAGAGAGAAATCCAAGCTAAAAAACAAGATTCTGCCAGTTTATGCCTGCTGTTATCTGAAAGTTGAATGCTAAGTAAATACATTTACACATATGAATTCAGCTCTGTAATCTGTAATGTATCATTAAGAGTATTTTTAAATTCAAGCCAGTGTAAGTGTTTGCATTTGACCGTGTATTAGGATTTTGCAGTCCCTGTATAGTAGAGCTGGAGTGTGCTAAGAAGCAGCAGCACAAGAAGTCAATCAGTTCATGTCCTGACAGGAAGCATGCTGATAGGAAAAGAAACAAGAGTAACAAAGAGACAAGTTGTAGCTCTACCCTCTAAGGTTCCACTGGATAAATGGGTTCTTTTGCCATTCCTCAGTGGTGACCTACCCTAAACTTACCCAGCACTCACCAACTTGCAAGTAGCATAAAGGGGCTTTATTAATTGTAAAACAAAAAGCCCTGTAGGGAAAACTGATTAAAGTATAAGTTCACCTTTTAGACAAAAATAATAAATGCACTTTTTTTGCAGGTAAAATGTGCATTTATTATTTTTGTCTACAGGAGATTGTAAAGCATTGCACCAGCAATCAGGTCTCCTGCAGACCTGTTAGAATATCTGCTTGCCATACAGGATGTACGATCAAGCAGATATTCTGAAAGGAAACTTCAATGAACTACCACAGCGCCGTGGTAGTTCATTGAAAACTACAAGCCGACAGCCACTAAGGCTGCCAGAATTTGCAGTTCATTCATTCACGGAAGTCCGACTATTTGGCAGATAGTACAGGGAAACCTCTCCCCGTACTGTCTGTCAGAGGGAGGGGGCAGTTGGCAGTGGATGTGGCTATGGGAACATGTTCCACCTTAAAAACAGGTGGAACATGTAACATGTTCCCAAAGGTGAACTAATCCTTTCAAGCTTACAAGACAGACTGGAAATAACAAGGCCAATTAACAATTGCTGAGAAATAGACACTATAATAACCAGATATTTAAGACAACTATAAGGCCTATGTGTGGGATTTTAAACCCTGACTAAGCCACTGGCCAGTGAAGGGTTAAAAGTGCAGTCTGCTAACATTGGGACCCATGATCTCCTGTTGGAGAACTCTCTTTCCTAAATATATTTAAAATATCAAGAGGGGTGATGATCGTACAGTCCTGGTCTGGGTGGGACAGGAAAACATTTAAGCAATAGTCAGCTAAATTTTGTAAATAAAAGGCAGTAACATAAGAGGAATCAAAGGTGGCCAAGAGGGTTTTCACCACTTGATGCCAGGTCCACTCCTCAGAAGCCAGGCACTAGGTCATGCCACACATTCCCCCCCCCCCCCCCCATTTTTAAAGTGTTACTAAACCCACAACAGTAAAATCAGTCTGTATCATGCTTGTTATACTCACTGTGGAACCTAAGGGGTTAATCCTCTGCATTGTGTAAAAAGAATGTTTGATCCTGACTTCTGTGATCCTCCCCTTCTTCTAGTGTCCCCCTCTTATCTCCTGATAAGACACACAGTATTGTGTGGAGACACAGCACATGCTCAATTTGGTGTATTGCTAGGGAAGTTTTTTTTTCTTGGGAGAGTGCATGTGATCAGCACAGGGCCAATCAGCACTGTCCAGACAGAGGTCAGAGGCTCCACATCTTCCTAGAGATAACTCCTCCAACAAGCTGTAACCAGTACTCTGTTGAACACTGATAGAAGTTACAAATCTGCTCAACTGCCGATGAGAAAAGGTATTTTGTAGTTTATATTTTGTAGTGCCTTTTGGGGACTATTTATCAAAAACATAATTTCATCCCAACAGCAAACCAGCTTAGCCGTCTGTTAAGGGTTAACTCTTCTTGGTTGGAATTCAAAAGACCTTCTAGTGAAATCACATGCACAATGAATAGAAGGGGCTTTTTCCAGAGACAATGGACTATTTGAATATCTACAGGTGGTATAAGACTGACAATCCTGAGAGTTTATGCTGGTGACTATAAGGCTAGCTAAAGTGTATATTGTCAACAAATGCTATTTGTATATCCGAGTTGAGGAGATTGCACCTACAAAAGTTAATTAGACAGTCAAATACAACCTTGGACTTCCAAACAGTGAGTCAGCACACCGACCAAGTTAACAATACGTAAGACCATACTTGTAAGTCTGAGAAGTTTAAACAAAACCTTGGGGAGAGTGATAAGCCAACAGATTTTTCAAATGAAGGCTACAAGGACAACTGGTTGTTTACCCTATTATCTTTACAATAGACACGTAAACAGCAGTTTCCTGTGTCATTCTTAAGACCAAAAAGTTGAAACTCAGAACTTATATTTTTACCCACAAAGACATTAAAAGAAAGACACATTATTCACACTCTTTCTCAAACAAAAATATATTCAGCAGATTTGGGGATTGTATACCACTAAATTGAGTATGAAATGGTGAAAAGTAAGGTATATTGTGAATTGATATCAGTTGTATATTTCTATCAGAAAGCAAATGTTTTCACACAAGTTTGAACCTCAGGGAAATGAATAACTGAATACACATATATCTTCTATGGTTCCTATCCAGGACATTATAGGTAGAATTAAATATATTTGGAAGATATATATTTAATACCTAAAATCACCTTGGGTTCCACCCGAGGTATGAGTCATCATAAATACTCAAATTGTTTTGTGATCCCTGACTGCCCCTAGTGGAAAGGTGAGAGATAGCTTAGGTACATACACTTCTCGACCGGCCAATCAAAAAGCCTGTTGGGAGGGTCTTTTAGAACAATGGTTTAGATGGTATAAAAAAGCCATGCACCTCATTTAAAAAAAACAAGCTAAGAGAAAAAAACAAGCTGAAAAAAAAGACACACAAAAAGAAACAAGCTACCAAAGGAGAACAGCAAGCTGAAGAAATCTGACGAGGCTGAAATCTATCCCTTCTGAAGAACTCCTACTTCATCCTTTCAAACTTTTAAAAACTTTTACTAAACTTCTAAATCTCTGTACCTCTAACTTCCTACATTTTCCAACATCACCACCTATTGCACTATCTCTCACTTGCCCTTTCGGTCATCCCTGAAGGCGTTTCCATTGCCAGCTGAATCCACTGGGGAGGCGTCATAATCCAGATTTTGGGTGTGGTGAGACTGTTTTTGATCTAATTATGGTGTCCGTTTGTGAACCAGCGGTAATAGATCGCTGCTCAGTTCTCCGGCATTCTCGGAGAACACAGTTCTCCTGTGAATGCAGTTTATGAAGCAGTTCTCCGAACGAAGGGAGAACGGTCTCCAAACGCTGGATAACGGTCTACAAACTCTGAAAAAAACGGCTCATTTTACTATAATCTCGCAAGATTATAGTAAAAGATCAGTTTACTAAGCAGAGGTAAATTATCTCTGCTTAGTTTTCGGTCCCTCTGATTCTCCAGCTCTGGGCTGGAGAATCTGGAGGGAGAACACAGATCTCCAGAGAAGGGCTGACATGATCTCCTGAGTGTCATAAACTGTGAATGACCAGAGAATAGCTGAGATCTGTTGAATCGCAGCTATTCTCTGTGTCATAAACGGACACCATTGTATTGCATATTTCCTCTGTTGCTTAGAGTCATAATAGTTACATTAGAGTGATAATAAGTGCATTGGGTGTTTTATATATATATAGAGAGAGATCCATGTATTACTGCTAGAAATTGTTTGGTGTCATTTTAAAAAAAAAATTACATATTGCATAAATCATTAATTTTTATTGGTTAGAGTATAATTTATCAGGGAATATTTTCTCCCATTCTTATGGCCACGTTTTGGGAGAAAATGACCTCTGAGATACTCTAAATTAACATTTATCGCTAAATTTCATTGTAATCTGTATTACCATTATTAGAATTGTATTGTGTATAATATTGGTATAGTATATCTTTGATCGTGTGTACCAGTATCCATTCATCACCAGTCTTTTGCGTTTTTGTGTTAATACCGTATTTTCCGGCGTATAAGACGACTGGGCGTATAAGACGACCCCCCTACTTTTCCTGTTAAAATATAGGCTTTGGGCTATACTCGCCGTATAAGACTACCCCCCTCTACCAACCAATCACGGCAAGCGATGTACCAGTATTTTCTGTGCACACTGCATACAAAGCCTGCTTGGATTGGGTGGGTCAGCTCTCCCTGCCTGCCCAGCCCTCCCTGTCTCCAAGATGATCTGAGAACTGCCACAGTTATTAATATATAATAATTAATGTTAATTACCGTATTTCCTGCAAGGTACTGCCTAGCTGACGCTTCTGCACATGTCTTCGGCAGCAGTAGACGATCACTGATCACCATTCCTCACAGAACTGCATGAGACGTCGGATGCAGCCGTTCAGTGCTCGATTGAGCTTGACTGAAACTGTGATATGCAGAGAAGGGATACACATCGGGTAGCGGCAAGAAGACGCTTCTGCACATGTCACAGTTTCAGTCAAGCTCAATCGAGCACTGAACGGCTGCATCCGACGTCTCATGCAGTTCTGCGAGGAATGGTGATCAGCGATCGTCTACTGCTGCCGAAGACATGCGCAGAAGCGTCAGCTCGGAAGTACAGGTAAGGTTTCAGCACAACACCCGGCGTATAAGACGACCCCCGACTTTGTAGAAGATTTCCAGGGGTTAAAAAGTCGTCTTATACGCCGGAAAATACGGTATATATATCATTTTTGTACATAAATAAATTTATATATTTATTTATTAATACAATTTTGGCTAAAAGGATTCAAGGTATAATAATAAGTGGTGATCAAATTATCAAGGTTTCCAAACTATTGGTTCATTCAATATTTGCCGTATTTTGACGGATGGAGGCACTGTAATATTTTATTTAAGGGAAAGGGACACGCCCTTCATAAGTAGAATAAATCCTTACATAAACCACCACAATTTACTACAATAATTGCACTTCCATGTCCTGTGTACTGTGGGAGACCAGATATAGTGAATGCAGAGTGCTGGGTTTAGTAACACTTTAAAGCGGAGTTCCAACTGAAAAAAAAAAATGTCAGCAGCTACAAAACTGTTTACAATACAGCCACTTACCTGTCCCTCGGTCCAGCAGTGTTCTCCCCATTGCTGGATTCACCAGCCATCTTCTCTCCCTGGCACTGACATCTTTAGTGTGGGCACCTGGCTGTGACAGCTTGCAGCGAGAAGCACAGCGCTTTGTGAATGGTCCCGGAAGACTACGGAAAGGGAGAGAGGACAACTTCCGCTTGCCTAAGGCAATTGCAGCAGAAGTGGGAGCGGGTACCTGTCAAATTCGGGTACCTGCTCCCCAAAGGTGCCAATCCTTAATGGGGCAGCGGGGGACAAGGCATTAAAGTGGAATTTCCCCTTTTGGGAGGAGCTCCACTTTATGCAAGAGCAAGCTGGGTTTGCAGCCTTCTCCCTTTTTTGAGATGTTCATTCTAAGCATTGCTGAATTTTTTTCTCTGGTCTCTGGCCTATCCTCTTCTTCTGGAGTCAGCAATCCTGTACTCTGCAGCCTGCTTTGCTCACACAGCAGTCTTCTCTTCTCTCAAGTTTCCTGCTCAGCACTGCAGCCTGTTCCATAGTAACCTCTCCTGCAGTAGTACAACAAAGCAGCCTGATCTCTACATCTCTCTCCCTCTGCTGTCTGCTAACTGCTCACAGTCAAGCCTGCTCTCTCATTCTTGCAGCAGCTCTATGGCTCCCCTATACCTGATCTCAGTGCAGGCTATCCTCCCCTTTGCATTCCAATGCTGATGGACAGGGCTAACATCCAACTTTAGAAAGTCAGCAAATCTCCATCCTGCTCCTCCTGTACTGGAGACACTTTCATTTCTCTGGTAGGTAGGGCTTAAAGTCAAAGGCAGAGAGCCCAAGGCTACAAGTTCTACAATGTGCCACTTCTTTTTTCACTGTCCAGTAAGAGGCTGGGGCTGCTCCAGGATAACCCCAGTTTAGAGGAAGAGGGTTGACTGAAGCTGGTCATCAGACAAATGATATCTAGGGGCAAAAAAGGAACTGCGGGGAAAACTTCTGATTAGATTGCAGCAAAAAGTTAAACAAACTGGCTTGGACATTGTTACTTTTAAAGAGATATTAATTTTTATCCTTTTTTTTAATAACAAAGGATTTTTTAATGAACTTATCTCAGCTCAGTACAACATAGACTTTTTGCTTTAGGTCAATAGTTTTTTTATTTGGTTTGTATATTAAAACAGAACAAAAACAGAACAAAAATCGCTCCTACAGCAAATTCCATCAGAAAAGGAAAAATTACAAGAGATTACAAAATGTCGTCAAATAAATCATAAGTAGAGGTTCATCAAGAGCAAAGTTTGATTCAAATAACTTCTCTATATGATACTCATATCTCAGAAAATAATAATACAAAAATCTAACAAGTCTGTACAAAATTTTTAAATACTAGCAGGTATAGTATAAGATACCAAAGTGATCAGATTGTTGAACATTTGAGTGTTAAAACAATGTCTACTAACATTCACTTGTTAAGCTATGTAAAGGAAGGAGTAGATATGTGGGTGCATAGTTGTACCGTATGTCCATTCCCAAAGGGCCCACCTATTGTGGAATTTGGAGATGTTACTCTTTGTATTCCATAACCTGTTCGTAACCATACATTTCTTCCATTCTTTTAACAACCTCTGCCACATTAGGCACTATTGGAGATTTCCATTTACGTGTCAACGTTAAGTGAATTTTTATCTTGTTGGTTTTGAGTTTTACTGTAGATCGGTGGCCAGGCTATGGACATGCAAAGAGTTACATACTGTGGTGTCCGTTTGTGAACCAGAGGTAATAGATCGCTGCTCAGTTCTCCGGCATTCTCGGAGAACAAAGTTCTCCTGTGAATGCAGTTTATGAAGCAGTTCTCCGAACGAAGGGAGAACGGCTTCCAAACGCTGGATAATGGTCTACAAACTCTGAAAAACGGCTCATTTTACTATAATCTCTCCAGATTATAGTAAAAGACCAGTTTACTAAGCAGAGGTAAATTATCTCTGCTTAGTTTTCGGTCCTCTGATTCTCCAGCTCTGGGCTGGAGAATCTGGACGGAGAACACAGATCTCCAGAGAAGGGCTGACAGGATCTCCTAAGTGTTATAAACTGTGAAATGACCAGAGAATAGCTGAGATCTGTTGAATCGCAGCTATTCTCTGTGTCATAAAAGGACACCTTAATTCTTAAAACAAGCACATCTTTACATATGCTTGTTTGAGCATACCTTTACATATTAGACATTTAAATATCTTTAAAACAGGCCTTCACTGACATTTGCAGCTGCAGTCCCTGAAAATTAGCAGCTGAAGCATCTCAGTTTTACTTTTATTTTCTCTCTGTAGCTCAGCTCCCCCTCCCAGTGACTTGACAGCTTGCCAGCCTTCTAAACTCTAATGCAGGGGTCCTCAAACTTTTTAAACAGGGGGCCAGTTCACTGTCCCTCAGACAGTTGGAGGGCCGGACTATAGTTTAAAAAAAAAAAACTATGAACAAAAGCGGACACAGTACAGGAGATGACCAGAGACTGCAGACATAGTACATGAGATGACCAGAGACTGCAGACATACAACGGTGGCGGGAATACTGGGCCGGCCGCTCCATAAGACGCACAGACATTTCCCCCCAAGTGTGTCTTATTGAGCTAAATATACGGTAAATGCAGGGCACCTTGTTGGGTCAGATCTGTGTACAATGTAGAGAGAGAGGGGGGGGGGGGGTAAGGAGGGGAGAGAGAGAGAGAGGAGGGGGAGAGAGAGAGGTGGAGGGATAGAGAGAGAGGTGGGGAAAGAGAGGATGGGGGGGGGGGGAGAGAGGGGGGGAGAGAGAGGGGGGAGAGAGAGGGGGAGGAAGGGGGAGAGAGAGGGGGGAGAGAGATGAGGGGGGGGAGAGAGAGAGAGGGGGGGGGGGGAGAGAGAGAGGAGGGGGGAGAGAGAGGAGGGGGGAGGGAGAGAGGAGAGAGGGGGGAAAGAGAGAGGGAGGAGATCGATCATCTATTGCACTTATCTAGGGTCAGTGGCCGTGATACCCGATATACAGCGATGGGGTCTCCTTTCTTGCTCCCCCTCTTCATGGTCAGCTCTATGCTCCGCCCTCCGGCCGTAACGGTTGCATGCACTGATCAGAAAAGATGGCCAGCTGGCTGCAGAGAGGCCAGGTGAGTGGTGCGGGTTCATAAGCCGAGCCCACCTTCACCTGTTCCAGAATTGCTGATCCTGCCCTCCTGCCTCCCGCCCGAGTCCTGCCGAGCTCTCCCGACCTGCCAAACCCTAGTCCCTTGCCTCGCGGCAGATATGCCCCTGCCTGGTGGGCCGGATAAATGTCCTCGGAGGGCCGCATGTGGCCCGCGGGCCGTAGTTTGAGGACCCCTGCTCTAATGTAACAGTACTGACTTGACCTACTTCAGTGCTTCTTTTGTGAAATTTTAGGATTAACTGATGCACAGTGGGTGTAACTATGGAGGTCAGTGGTGGCTTATTTCAAGCTTATTTACTGCATTTTAAGAATACAGTATGTAAGTACTGTATATGAATGTCAATAATCTGGTCACAGTTCTACTTTCAGGTGCCCCTAGACATAATAATCAAATCAGTAGCTACAACTCTCTTACTGTCTGATGTAGCTTGCTGCAAGTCTATTCAAAGTCAGTGAAACTTGCAAGGCAAACAGCCTTTTCGAAGAAAATTAACAATCGCAGCCTATAATTTTAACACAGGTCATGGATATACTCAATTTAGAGGATATCTCCTCTAAACACAGTATGGTCAGTAATGCAACAACTAATTTAACAGTGGACTGCAAACATAGCTCTGGCATTTTATTTCACCTTCCCAATAGAGGCCTGTTCTTAGAAATAGTGTAAATGTAGGATCTGGGTTGGGGAACTCTGGCAATCAGATATCACCACCATGCTGCAGATTATAGGCTATTTTCCCATTCAACTCATGAAGAGCTATAAAGACACACCAGAGGATCTTGATCCCTTCCTCCTAGGAAACATCTGTGCTCAGTGGCAGGAATATAAAATTGGTAGTTTTTTTCAGTGCTTTGTTTCCAGAAAAAACAGATATTATGAACAGAATTTCCATAGCTAATAAAATATTATACATTAAAGGCCATATCTAGGCAAATTTTGGATTCAAGTCCCTTGACAACCCTGTACCCCCCAAACACACACACACACTCCCTATCTTTCAACAAACAAAAAACTTTGAACGCTGGTTTTGACTCACCTGACTTAACTGTCACAAGTCCCTGACAAGCACCTATTCTGTAAGTGGAAACTGGTTATACAGTGCTGCATCATTAGAACTTTACTTACTAAAAAATATTTGCAAACAGGAAGGATTTTTAAAGTCAAAGAGATATACTACTTCTCTTCTACATTCTTACCTGCTTGTTTGCAATGTACACTGAGCTGAGGATTATAAACAGAATTTAATATTCCACTTGTATTGTTCAGAATAACTTGCAATGTGACTAATTAGGGACACTTCAGAGACATATAGCATCCTCCTAGTTAGTGTAGGTTGCTAGGCAAATTTAGATTAGCTCCTCTGCAGTCAAGGGAGCAGTGGTTGATTAGTTTGCTAAATGTTTTACATGATTCTGATCTGATTATTTCGCCCTGCATTCTAGAGAGTTCTAGAAGAACAGTAGCAGGAAAGACAGAAGGACATCTTAAATATTTATAGGAATCCAGCTAATCCCTGGGGTGGTGTGCACAGTAGGTGGCTGGAGAGCCTATAAAAAGCCTGAGGCCTGGAACAGTAGTGTAGTGAGTCCTGGGTCCAGTCCTGTAAGAGGAGTCCCCAGTCTAAGGGGTTCTGCCCCTTAGGGCAATCTACTGTAGACACAACTTGAAGGTCATCAAGGTCCCAGCTGCAGTCTAAACTGGGGAGCCTATTTCCAAAGTCTATTCTGCATTTTCTTATGGTTTGGAGAGCTCACTGAAGAGT